CAGCTGCCATGTGATGCGCGTCCTCTCCTCCAGCTTTCGGTGACCCCCGAACCGCCCACCGCGCCGGCCGCCGGGAGGGGGCTGCGGGCTGGGAAGACGCAGAGAAGAGGAGGCGGAAAAGGACGCAAAGTTCTCTGGCGAGGTGAGTCCCCGGGCCCGGCCCCGGCGCCGGGCGGGGTGGCGGGTGGCGGGGCAAGTTTGAGGGGGCAGTGGGTGCGCGAGGAGGCGTGGGGAAGCGGCGCAGGAAGGGAGCCGCGGTCTCCCGGCGCGCAGCCGCGGGCCGAGCGCCCTGCCGCTTTTATGGCTTTTTCTAGGAACGGGAAGGCGGTGGGAGCCGAGCGGGCGGACGCGCCGCAGCGACCGTGCGCTCCCTCGCCTGGCTGTTTACGGCGGGCGAGGCGGCATTGTATTTTGTTCGCGTCGACGGGTGTTTTGGAACAGTAGGGGGAGGAGGAGCAGAGGGTAATAAGTCAGGCGTGGGGAGGGCGGGCTGGAGGGAGGCGCGCGTCTGCGGGAGCCGGAGCAGCTGTCAGACCCACGGCCCTGCTCCCTGCCCGGCGAGGCCCGGACGCCCCGGCCCCCAGACCGCGATTTCCTCGCGGGGCCGGATGGCCTCCAACCTGCCTGCTGCGTCGGTGCCCGGGACTGCTCCGTGAGCACCGCGGCCGCCCGCGCTTTTGCGCTCAGCTGTCAGTTGCCGCGGGGTATCCGGAATCCCTGAGACTGGCGGGGCATCGAAGCCCAAGTTTAGAGTCCCGAGAAGAGTCAGGTTGGGGCCTCGCAGCGCAGACCTCGGACCGCACGCTGGGTGGAACCCCTCCTAACCAGTGGCCAGGTTATCGGAATGCGTCCCTGGGCAGGCAAACTGAGAGGCTCGTGCCAGCAGAGAGGGACATCTTGCAAGATCCTGCATGAAATCAAAGTGCAACACACACCCCCTTCTCTCTCCACACACACTTCAGTCTACAAGCCCCAGCAGCGCAATCTAAGGAAAGGGGCTTATCCAGGGGACACCTTTCCATCTCCCCGTGTGGAGGCGCCGCGTGGGTCTCACCCGGTGGGTGCTCTGGCGCCGAGCGCCCCTGGAGAGGGCGGTGGGCGGTGCTCATGGACTACCCCAGCTGCCCACGAGAGGGGACTCTAGCGAGCTTCTCGGTGACCTCGGTCTGGCCGAGGATTTGCAGGAACTCGGACCGCGGGAGGAAGCTGGCAGGGCCGGGTGTGTGTCTATGAAAGCGGCCGCGCTCCCCTGACTTCGTGGGTCGCGGATACGCGGAGTGTCCCCAGCACTCTTTCGTGTGTGGGCGAGTTTGACAACTTGGGGGAAGTTGGAGCCCAGCGCTGTCGGGATGGTGTAGTCTGTGGCCCGAGAAGGCGCTCCTCGCAGCTCGGAGACCCGCGGCCCCTGGGAAACGGGCGGGACGAGGCTACTTCGCCCCCACAGACTCCCCGGGGACCCGCGGATGGCGAGACGCGGCGCTCCTCGGTTTTCACTTTCTGTCTGGTGCGGCCGTCCCTCGCTCTCCGTGTAAATGTAATCTGTTGAGTCTAACTAAAAAGGGTAATTGCTTTAGATAAAAATCCTTTCCTGCCTAGTGGGAACCTTGGCGGAGATGACGCCTAGTGAGGTATTTTGCGTTTGTCTGTTTAGAGTAAAATTAGAGATGTTCACTGATAGCGGTTTTCTCCGGTCGCTAAAATGTAACATGTAGGACAGGCATGTCGAGCTGCGAAGGCTCCGGCTGACATGAAAGAGGCTGAGCGGGAAAGGCTGCGGCTCCTTCGGGGGCGAGGGCTGTTCTGGTGAGACAGAAAAAAGTCTTGCTTAAAATGTGAGATTGCCCCACCCTGCTTCTCCAGCAGCGCTCCAGTAAGCGGCATTTTTCATTCTTGCAGGTAATAATAAACGGGAGTCAAAATGACATCTTGTTAGAATTAGTCTTTAGTCTGTGAGAGCGATTGCTAAATTACAGTGTTGCCTTCAGACTGCTCCAGTGAAAGGTCTGTCAGCATTTCCATTATAAATTCAGTTTTTAGGAGTTTATAATATCACCACAGAACTTTGAGTGGCTGAGATGTTGTGTGTGGGTTTTTTTTTTCCTTCTAGTGTTCTGGTTTTAAAAATGCATTGGGGGAAAAAATGCATTGATTGCCCACTTCCATCCTATTTGCTATTCCGGAAACTTCAATATCATTCAAACAGGAGTCCCAGAAATGGAATACACAATCATGGAATAAAGTACTTTTGTTAAAGCATACTTTATTTGTGTAGAGCAGTAATTTCATTCTGGATTTTGGAAGGCTTTTAGGTTTGCCATTTGGTAATCATAAATGTGTTGAGTTAATTCTTCTGGTATCTGTCGACTCTGCAGGTGGATTGAAATGTCAGTTCGTATTGTATATGCCAGGGTTATATTGAGAAACAGTCTCCGCATATATGCGTATGTCTGAACTCATCGCTAAATTATGAACGCTCCTGTTAGTTACTTCTCAGTTCTTTGTGTGTTGCCTGTGAGAATCTGCCATAGAGAAGGAGTAAGGCAGAAAGCGAGGGAGGGAATCTGGACACCTTCCCCTCCCCCCACTCACTTTTCAGTATTACTAGTGGCTGGGAGGAAGCCATTTATTCTTTCTATTGAATTATGCCTTTAAGTCAGTGTCTTCAGGCAAGTCCCTCACCTCTGGCTGCTGTGTGAGGGGCTTAATTATTTGCAAACTGCCTTGAAATCCCTGGATGAAAGGCACTGCCTAAGTGCAGAGTATTGTTATTCAGATATGGAATTTAATGATCCATTACAGTTCATCAGGAAAATGCACTTTGCAGTGATGGTAGGAAATGTTTCTACCTGATAGAGGGTAATAATAACTGCTTAAAAGTAGGTTCAGATTACGGATGAGACAATTAACTCTAGCCATGTGCTCTTCAATTTGTTGCAATTCATTTTGTGATCAAAGTGAGTCACAGAGAGCCAGATGGTCAGGTTCATGTTCAGATCTCTCCTAGACCAGCCCTTCACTTCTGGGCCCGCTGTCTGCACAGCCAAGGGGACTTATTCATTAGTGCTTGTGAATTTGTGATCAAGGCTCCAGTGATGCCAACAAAAGGGCTCAGATCAATGTGTATTGTTGGGAGCAGTTTAATTTTACTTGGATTAACTTGTGCTTCGTGTCCCTGGTATGGATCCAGCCTTAACCAGGGAAGAGAGAGCTCCCAGTGGCTCTCCAGCTCAGCTGTGCAGGGGACCACTGCCCTACTTTTTGTACCTCAGATTTCAGGGGCTACGGTGTCTGCCTTGTTGTAAATGCTGGCTGATGCTGAATGAAAGACAGAACACTTAGATAACTAAATACCCTTCCTGTTTGGCTGAGGGGGTGGGAAGCAGGACCAGCTTCATGGGCATGTGACCTGCACCATTGCACAGAGCCCCTCCTCCCCCTCATCTGCTCGGGGAGGACCTCATGCTGGGTTTAATCTTCTGCTGTTGTCTTCTTGAAATCTTTGATAATTCTTGAGCATGGAGCCCTTCATTTTTATCTTTCACTGGTCCTGGTGAGGGAGGGGGCATAGGGTGGAGTGGCAGGTAACCGATACTCTGCCCCAGCTTCTTTTTGTTAACTGTTGCCAGGCAGGAATGGGTGGGAATACTGGCTTCGTGTTGCTACATTGTCTGATTTTTTTCCAAGGGAAGCTGGATATCTAGACTTTTATGTGGAATCCCCTGATTTTTTAAAATATTGGATCGAAAAATTTAAAATGCTGGATGAGAACATTTAATGGGCTAATACATCTTATTGTTTAATATTTCTGTATGTAGCCATTTTCTAAAGGCCTGGCACATAGTAGATGGTTTGTAAGTCTCCACCAAGTGAATGATTACAGCTATTGGGGAAATTGAAAGATATAAGAAAAGCAAAACTTGGATCAACCTTGAGTCCCACTCAGGAATTGATAGCTTTCTTTTTAACAGAGAATACGAGTTGAAAGACCAAAAATTAATACCAGGGGTGGCACCATGGGGTCCTCTGCAGGTAAATCATTCACTGCTTTTAAACCATCTGCCCTCTATTTAGTTGTTATGGACCAGATGGGGTACCTTGGCTATTTAATGCCTGAGGATCTCCATGAAAATTTGACATTTGAAAACACCCACTAAAATAATAGCCATGATTTATTGAATGCTCACCATGTGCCAGAAACAGTGCTAACAACTTTACCTACATGCAACTCATTGACTCCTCACAGCAATGCTGTGAAGTAGCCATGGTGCCCGTTCTGCAGAAGAGGAACCGTCTCATTTTATGTTGAAAAGAATGTCATCAAAATGGAATGAGTATTTTCTTGACCAGTTCTCAACCTGTGGGTCGCGACCCTTTGGGGGTCGAATGACCCTTTCACAGGGGTCGCCTAAGACCATAGGAAAACACATATATAATTACATATTGTCTTTGTGATTAATCACTATGCTTTAATTACGTTCAATTTGTAACAATGAAATTGGGGGTCACCACAACATGAGGAACTGTATTAAAGGATCGCGGCATTAGGAAGGTTGAGAACCACTGGTCTAAGGGATATTTGTCATCCTATATGTACAATCTACCCCTGAGGTGATTAATGACTGGGCGTGGGGTAGAGACCATAGCATATAGAGAACCTAGTCCCTACCCTCATGTACAAGAAACAGAAAATAAAAGATGAACAGATTTGTCAAAATCTGCAGTTTAGACAGCAATCACTACTTCTGCCTCCCTGTGCCTCTCCTTTCTCTGGATAGCCAAGAAGCTCCAGTGACACATGACCCTATCAGAGACACCAGCAACTCAGAAGTCAGGGCTGGCTGCAAGAATTGGCATTTCCCCGGAAAAGGAGCTAACTTTTGGCACACCTGGAGCTGTGTTAGGACAAGCAGCACCGAGGCCTGGGGAACGACGAAAATTGCTCCTGGATTACCAGTGACAGCGTGTGACCTATTCCTGTCCCAACTTTAAGTTTTACGTAAATACTTACAAATTGTTCAAGGCCCAACTGAAACCTGATGTGAACTAAGCATTTGGTAAACTCAGTAAGATTGCCCAGAATATTACTCATTTTTTGGTTGGGTTTCTGGGGTGACATTTAATAGAAAAGTAGTTCTTTCTTTG